CATCAGCTGGATCATCCCCTTCCCCCCAAACTTCATGAACTCGTTGACTATCCCATCCGCTCCTGCTGCTTTGTGGCACTTCAGCTTGTTCACACACGCCTCAACCTCGTCCTCAGTGAACTCCTTTTCTAGTTCTACGTTCCCAACGTCTGCCTTCGATGTCTCTTCCTCTCTTTGGGCCCATGCGTCCACCTCCTTCTTAAACGCTTGGTCAAAAGCATTATTTTCCGAGGGCACTCCAAGTCTTTTGTAGTGTCCTGCTAGAAGTTCCCTTTTTCCCTTCCCACTGCTGACTAATCGACCGTTCACACCTGGCGAAGTTCCTACCTCTGTATCCCCCCCTTGCGCGGTCTTTTTTACCATTCCACTTATTCCTTCCCACATCTGCTTGACGTTCCCCTCCAGGCCTCCGTTGGCCTTTTGCACTACTTCGTCCCAAATACACTTTTTCTTCTTTTTCACTATTATAATCCCTTCACCTGTTTTCTCTTGACCCTGTACTTTTCCCAACTCTCTTCAGGCGCCTCACTCAGGTACTGCTTCAAGACTTATCTACGTTCCCCTATTTCTTTTTTCAGCTTGTCATCCCACCACTTTACCGATACCCCACGTCGTACCACCTTCTTTCTCACTACTCTCTCTGCTGTTGCGTTCACGATGGACTCCCACCCTTCAATCACCCTGTCCCCTGCTGCTTGTACGTCTACCTGTCCGTCTTCGACACTTCTCAGCAGTTTCCTGAAGGCTTCTACACTACCAGCCAGTCCCTGCTGGAAGTCATCCCGTGTCCCCTCGTCTCCCAAACGCTCTACTTTCCATCCGAACCCTTTCCTCTGTTTCTTACTCTCCATCTTTCTAGATCGGTCGATGTTTGCCCATATGGGGAAGTCGGTCGAACCTATATCTATCGCACTTACGTGCAGCTCTGGGATCTGTGTGCTCCCCCTATCTACCAGGATGTAGTCGAGGATCGAGTATTCATTGCAAACTGCCCGTTGCCTGGTGAACTCCGGCTTATCGCATTCCCTCCTACCGTTCAACACCATCAGTTCGTTGCTTCCCAAGAATTCAAGCATCCTCACTCCGTTGTCATTCACTTTGTCTTCTCCGTGCTGC